GCAGGGAGCCCGATGCGGGGCTCGATCCCAGGACCCCGGGATCATGACCCGAGCCGAAGGCAGACGCCCAACGACTGAGCCACCCAGGCGCCCCCGACTTTATTTTTTAAAAAAGATTTATTCATTCATTTTAGAGAGAGAGAACAGGTGGAGGGGCAGAGAAAGAGGGAGAGAATCCCAAGCAGACTCCCCTCTGAGCCAGATGTGGGGCTCGATCTCACGACCCTGAGATCATGACCCGAGCTGAAACCAAGAGTCGGATGCTCAACCAACTGAGCCACCCAGGCGCCCCTGGCACCTGACTTATGAACCACCTCCTTGAGAGTGCAGTGGGTGGCCAGACCACAGAGATGCCTGTCCCACAAAAGGGAGCACCAGGCCCGAGATGGGAGGGTGGAGTTCAATCATAAGGGCAGAGTCCTGGAGGGTAGAGCCTGATTCGAGAGCCTCTCTCCTGCTGAAGCACAGTGGGGTGGTGGCAAGCCAGCTTCAGGAGCCAGGCTGCCCGGCCCCCATTCCCAGCCCAACTGCCCACCAGCTGTTCATCTTAAGCCTTCACTGCATCATCATAAAATAAGGATAATATTTTAAAGCATCTTACAAGGCTATTGTAAGTATTAATGGAGATAATCTGCTAAAATACTTCACACTGGGGTGCCCACATGGTCAGGGCTCAGTAATGTTAACCAGTTGTATTGACCCAATTTAAACCAATTTAAACAGTTTCAGGTGGGCTTCTGCATTGGCTTCTTAAGGTATTGTGAGGTTTGAGGCTTCCACTTCTAACTGATAGAGGACCCTGGTTAATCTCCCCCAAGCTCCATCCTCCTCATGACCTCCTTTCCTCTTCTGGCTCTTATTGCACACAGGACAAATTCTCAACTCTGAAGACTGGCATTCGATGCCCTTCACAGTTGAGCTCAGTCACTTTTTCAGTTTATATCCAATGATTCTCCAGTCCCAATCTTTTGTTTCCAGCCATCTGATCTACCCAGTCTTCTGAACTGCTCCATGGAGACATTTTGCTCATGTATTTAACTGGTAAGCCATCTCCAGCCCTTTCTTGACCCATTGTCAAGACCTGGCTCCTAACCCAGCTCTTCTAACTCAAGCTAGATGATATCTTTCATGCCCTGAATTCCTATCACCATTGTTGTAAGGATAGTTCATGTGACAATCATGGGTTCCCTAGTAACATTTTTTTTCTATGCTTCCTTGCACTGTCATTCAAACATACTAAAATATTTCTGCATTATTTAATCAGGACATCCTGTGTTTCTTGTTATGTCATTGAAAATAAAGAACATGTTTTCTTTTTTTGTATGCCCTATAGCATTAGATGCTTTATATATATTGAAATTAATTTGAAAAGTATGGCTCCTTTTGGACCATACATTAATAGAAGCAGGAATCTCTCTCCTGCTTCAGAGGTCCACAGTGGTACCTGCAGATAGGCAGTTATTAAACAAGAAGGAGGAGGAAGAAGAAGAAGCATATTGAACTTTTTACAAAAGGATATGGAATATCTCAGAGATGCAAACAATGGCCTCCTGAGGCCTCCTGAGAGGCACAAGACAGAGGCTCAAGGAAAAACATCCACCCCAGCACAATGGTATATTTCTCCTGAGTATGACAGCGCGAGTCCCATGAGACTACAGCCTGAAGCTCTGACGGCTGCAGGTTCTGCACATGACGGAATCTGCCTCCCCAAGAGTCCATAGTGGAGAAAAACTCTGGTCTACAATTCTCAGAGATAGCTGTCAGTTCATCTAAAAAGGAGCAAATGTTAAGGGAGCCCCAAAACACAACTTTAGTGCTTCTTGACGTCAGGACACTTTGCTCTGATATTTTAGCAGTTCAATTGAAAGATTCTGCAAAGAGATGTCACTGGCCACACCAAGAGCCACCAGATATCTTCTGGACCCATTTACCTAGGCCTTGGGCCCGCGCTGCCACATGTTTATGGCCTTTGCACAAGTACCACCCACTTGTGCATACAACCCCCCGGGGCAACCCCAAACCTTTGAAAATGTGAAGTAAAGCCCCCAAACCACAGGATTTCTTCCCACAGCACAACAACTCACCTATCACCTTGACCCACAGAACTTCACTGGCCATTTCGGTATGGGAGTGACAATTATCCACAATACACTGGTATTCTACATCTTTCGTTGGGTTGTCTTTGAATACTGCAGGCTCATTTGAGGTCATGTCACGGCTCTCCAAAATGTTATTTGCTTTTAAAAGGTGGTAAGAAATAGGCACGGTTCCATTTATGGATTGGCAGCTGACTGCGATGGTCTGTCCTTTTATCACCTCGGAGCTGGAGTCATAAAAAATCCTAGGCTTGGAGAGCATTTCTAGAACGACAGAGAAACAACCTGAACAACACTGAAGGCAGAAACAAAACATCCAGCCCAAGAGGGTCCTTCTCCAAACTCTGCTCTTTGCTTCTCTGGCATTACCATAATTACCTGCCTGTCTTACCTACCTTCATAGGACTATTTTAAGAGGGACAGGTTGTGTGTGTGTGTGCGTGGTGACGAGGGAGAGGGGAAGTGAATGCTATAAACAAAAAAGGGTGACAAGAAAAACACTACATCCCCCTAAATCCATTTATATTTTCATATATCTCACCTACATGTGCTCACACACCCGTATGTTGCTGTTGTGTTGAGGTAAGATACAGGAAAAGCATAAGAAATATAACAAGCACCCAGGTGGAATCGATTTGAAAACAAATTTTCAGTGCCTCAGGCTCTCTTGAGAGTAAACCGCATCTATGCCTCGAGAAGCAAGAATTCTACGAGGTCCTTATGCAGAAGTTTGCTTATTTGTAAAGCTTATGAAATGTAATGACCCACGTTTGTCTCTTGTATTATTTCCTTGGGAATTCCATGACGAGTGAGTTGACAAGAGACTATGACCCTGGTTGAGTTGAGACTAAAATCTTGGCTGCTTAAACCACATCCATGGGTTAAACTGAAGGATGGTGACTGAGTTGCAGCAGACTGAGTTGCAGGCTGCCTATGACAGCCTGACCAGAGTTCCACTGTCACTTAGAGACCCTCTGCTCCGAGGGTGGTCCAGGGCCCAACATCCCCAAGGCAGGCACTAGTCAGAGATGTAGACTCTGGCTCCATCTTGATCTGCATTCTAACCCAGTTTCGCATGCACAGTCAGCTCTGGGAAACATGGCTTTAGGTGGTCCCAGTACCTACATTCTGCCCACCAGAAGACCTGGGCTTACTAGTCAGTCAGGATATGGATAAAAGCCAGGAACTTAGATCCTAAAGTTTAGTGTTGAATAAGGAGTGTTTCCTCCCTGACCTTTGGAGTGGGAGCCTGTTCCAGCAGCCAGAATCTTGCCAGCTCAGCCACATCATCAGCATGCAGCCACAATAAAGCCATGAACTTCACTTTTGCCTACGCTTTCCTTGTATTGCCTCCTTCCTGTACTTGGAGCAGGAATACCCACTTGTTTGGTCTCTTCATTTCACCGCTCTCTCTCCCCCAAGTTCTTCCCCTGCCTCAGTGTGATCTGCCTTCAGCCTGGAGAGGGTGCAGCTGGTGATAAACTGTCTCTGTCTCATCCCACCCAAGACTCTCTGAGCGAGTGAGGATGTACCCACCACACACGGTTATCTGGACTCCACTGCTTCTCTTGACCACCTTGCCCATGCTTGCGTTGCAGGTGTATGTCCCACTGTCCCTCGCTGAGGCGATCCTGGTGAAATTTTGAGACTCTGACATAATCATCTTTTCCTTCTGGATGGTGAAGTTGGCTGGAGGTGCTCCTGGAATGGAGCACCACAGGTTCAGGCTTTCTCCCTGGTCCAGACGGGTGGCGGAAGATTCCAGCTTCGGCTTGGAAAATAGCTCTGAAAAACCAGTGAGTGGAAGGGGGTGAGATGTTTCTGGGCACCAATCATGGGCCCCTTACAGAGACGGAAGAGAGAGAATCAGGAAGGGACTCTTGCAGGAAGCTATCCAGGTGAACAGGGAGTGTTCTAAGCAGAGGAACGGGCCTGGCAGGAAGGAGTACCTGAAAGTTCAAGCATCCTGGAACATAGTGGGAGTAGAAGGAAGACCTATAGATCTTGAAGGACCTTGGGAACCACCTAAAGAAATGTGAATTGTATCCTAGGGGCAATGGGAACCATGGAGAGTTTGGGTCAGGGGAATGGCATCAGATGTGTGTTAGAAGGAGATATCTGGAAGGAGAAGGGATGGAGTTGAAGGGGCCCAGACTGGAAGCAGGAGGGATGCAGTGCAGGCTTGAAGCAGAGTGAGAGCGTGAGGTTGGGGAGAAGTGGCAGCTGGCCCCCATCCCTCCCGAACTTCCCACAGAGAAAGATGAAGATGACACCTGAAGCCTCCTGAGGTTGAATACTTCATAAGCTAGAATTCTATGCCACTTTAAGGAGTCACTAGTACCATAATTCAGGTTGAATGTCAACAACAGTAAAGATACAGTTGACTTTTAAGAAGTCTTGGCATCTCCTTATTTAAATATTCCCTGAAATACATCAAGATTTTGTAGTTATGGAATGCGTTTTTACTTTCAGATACTGGGAAATTACTAATTAACTACTTAGCTGCTGCGAAGACTTGGTCCTTCGTGTAAGCAAGTGTACTCTGGCTTCAAGATTATGGCTTTTGATGCAGAAGGAAGGACTCAGTAATTCTTTTTTTTTTTTTTTAAGATTTTATTTATTTGCGAGAGAGAGAATGAGAGACAGAGAGCATGAGAGGGAGGAGGGTCAGAGGGAGAAGCAGGCTCCCCGCTGAGCAGGGAGCCCGAT